GTTTGTTTGCTTAATAATTACTCTTCTTTAATGTCTCTGCTTACATTGCAGGTTGTTGCTGATGTAACCAGCATTATTGCTGAGAAAATTGACGTTGTTACCTTAGATGTTTGCACGTATCTTCTGCCTGTTCTAACATCTCTTCTCGAAAGCAAAATGGACAGGTATCTGATTGGTGATATTAAGAAATTGCCGTCCTTTCATGGCTAATCAATAATAAAAAATGAGTGTGTATGCGAAAGTGGAGAAGACCCATGTATTGATAAAGGTTTATACTTGATATCATCCTCAAAAAATTATATTTTCATATAATTTGAGATTCCCTCTGATAGCTGTTGTTCCTGGATGAAGTGGCAGTGAGTTGGTAGTTCAATAAGTGCGAGTGACCTAGGAGTTTGCATGAACAACCTACAAACGATATTTTCTAAAAAACTCGTCTTGCAAGAGTGGTGTGCTGTGTCTTGTTTCCTCTGTGTTAAGTCGTCCATTGTGCCTGCATCTTAACTGAGAGTGATTTTTCCTCCCAAGTTTAGGCATTTGAGCATCTCGATGGAGTTGCTGGTAAAGCTCGTCCGGACATTTGGTACTGTGATCTACTCAACTATATCAGCTTCAACCACTATCGGTGTAGACATTGAAGCGGAGAGAAGGTATCATTAGCTAGCTTAAATTTGCCTTGCAGTTCACATAGTAATGATATATATATATATTTTTCTGAACATCGAGTTTGGAATTTGGGACTCACTTGCAGAATGGATCGTTGCAATCTTTGTTTCGTTGAGCTGGAAAAGGTTAAGCGCTGCTTGCCTTCCCTTGCAAGGTACGTATTTGGATGATAGTAAACGTGGAGTATCATCTTACAAGTAATTTTAATCATAAATCTCTGTTGTTTGGTTGTATAGACGAGGAGGTTCGGTAGGGAAGTCTGCACAGGAGCTGAATTTAGCTCTACAAGAAGTTTCATAACTGACACGGGTTCGAGGAAAGCTAAAACTCGAGCTCGTGGAGGAAGGAATGGCGTCTGGGTTTTCTTGTAAATTCGTGCTAAAATGAAGACATTTCTTGGTGACCCACTCACATGGTTTTTACACTGAGACCACCAGAAAGAAGGCTAACAGAAATCTGTATCTCGTCGCTCCCGCTGCTGCTGCCTGCAGACGAATGGAGAGAGTGCTGAATGGAGAGAGTTGTTACAGGAATTCTTTGCGTTCGTTTGAATGCATAACCTGTACTCCACAAGCAAGAATGTAATACGGTGTTGTTTTGATTGTTTACCGTTATCATAGATGGCTAGGTAGGGATATGAAAGTGTACTCTGATTGCTTCATTGTTATCGCTCGGGCTAAAAAGTGCCTAATGAAATTATCATCGTAAAGATGAAAGTGTTCTCTTCTACTACAGTCTGCAGCCTGCTAGTATTACATTTTAAACAGCAAAAGAATAGTGGGCTTTTGATCCAATCTAAACAGCAAAAGAATAGTGGGCTTTTGATCCAATTGTTTTCGGTGCTATCTCGGCTGAAAAAAGCCCAATAGTCTTTTGACTTTGAGAGCTCGAAGATGCAACTCATTGATCTTTCGGTCTTCTTTCCTCTGGTAGAGCGAGAACTCAGCGACGGCAGAACTGTTGCTATCTTTCTTCCTAGACTTCTTGCAATTTCAATTCTCGTGAGACGAAATCGATGGCTTCCATCCCAACTGTTGCTTCCTCTGCTTGTTCTTCTTCTTCATCTGCTGCCTTTCCCGCTTCGTCTCGGCTAGGGAAACCGAAATCATGCTGCCCTCTCCCTTCTGCCGTCTCATTTCCTGCTTCACCGTTTCTGCCTCGTCCCAGGAGGAGGATTGCCTTGGCAGTGGCGGCAGCTGGTTCGAAGAGCAGTATTCAGAAGGACAACAAGAAAGCGGATGAGGAGGAGAACGTGATAGAGGTGGAGGAGGACTTGCCTTGGATTCAGGAGAAGGCGTTGGACCTAGTCGAGTTCACAGGGTCCGTCACTCAGGCAATTCCCGGGCCGAGAGTCGGTCACAGCAAACTTCCATGGATCCTTGCCCTCCCTTTGGCTTACGCCGGCGTTACATTCGTTATTGCCTTTGTTAAGACCGTCAGGAAATTGTCTTCTCCCAAAACCAAGCGCCGGCGACTGGTTCGTCTCTTCCTCTCTAAATTCTTTGGTTGTTTGTTATGCCTTTGTATGTAATTTTGACTTTAGTCGTGATGAATTCAACTTATATCTGCTGGAATTGTGTTTGCCGTGAACCTCAATCCTAATCCTTCACTTGAATCGTCTCTAACACCTAAGACTATGATGTTAAAATGCAAGACTTATATTTAATTGGATTGGATGGAATCTCTATCCCAGGTCAATAAAAACGCTACCCTGTGTAGATCCATTGACGAGTTGCTTCAGAGTGGGGGAGATGAATTGCAACCTTCAGCTTTGGAAGGGCTGATGAAGAAGGTGAAAACGCAAGGGGCAACCCTATTATCTATTTGTAGTTAAGCTTTCTCCGCACAGCATTTCAATTTCGCTGCTGACTCCTGTTTCATGTCCAGACAGGTTTCACTATGGAGGACATTCTGCGCAAGTATATCCGATATGCACTGAACGAGAAACCATTCAATCCAGAACTGGTTGCCGACTTGATCCGGCTCAGGGTAGCTTCGCAGTTGAGTGACCCCCAAATGGCTTCAATTCTGAATGAGATCTCTCGGCTGATTGTGCGTGACAAAGGTATAAGGTGTTTTAAACTTTGGTGACACTTCCATATGCTAACTAGTTAAGCAATATCTTAGTTTACTATAGTCACCATTGCATCAGTTACCCCGTGAAATGGTGAGTGTCTTCCTTGGTACCTTTTAGGCTTTACATATAAACATGGTACAGTACAGTAGCAGTCTTCAGTTGTATATCCTTTCCTACCTAGTCTTGCGCACCATCAGTGGTCAACACCCAGTAAATACCACGACGAAAATGTGTAGCTTATTCTTATTAAATAAAAGACTGTCAAGCTTGCTGTTATTAACGAAATGTGCTGCTCGCATATCCTGCAGATGGTCAGTGTATGTTTTATTGGCTTAAGTTTTATCTTTCTTTTGAATTAGTCACACCAGCTTATATGCTTCTATAGTTGCATCAACTGTTACTACAATCTAGTTGGTGCATCACAACGACAAGTTCTAGTTGCTGATAACTTTTTGTTTGAGAAGTTCACTCTATTACACTTGCCTCATTTGCCAATAATTAACACAAAGCTCGAAATCAAGTAAAGCACCATTCTATGTTCACTAATAATCTGGCTGATAATTCTACCTCAAAGTTTGTCATGTGTCAATAATTATCACAATGCTGTAAGGTCGAGTAAAGCCACAGAATATTTGCATCATTAAATTGGGTAATCTTTCTCTACACCGTGGAACTACCATTCAAATCTTACTTTTAGCATGGCCTATTGGTGCTAGGTGCATCCTTGGGATTTTTTGTTGATATAGTCTCCAGGCCACTATCCATCGAGGTTTCATGTACAAATGAACTGTTCTGTTGTGCTGTTTATAAATGTACAGCATTCAATGATACATATAGACTGCTATTTGATATAGTGATGTGGTCATTGGCGCGATTAGAAGAGAAACATGCAGTTACTTTTCATCCTCGATTTACTACCAAATTTCAGTTAAGAGAAGAGATGATGTGGTATTGATTGTGTACTTATCCAATTTTCATTTTGTCTTGGCAAATTTCAGGCCCTGTTGTCATGGATGTGTCAGGATATACTGAAAAGGGATTTAAGAGAAAGCTTGCTGTTCAGGCCCTATTCGGGAAGGTCTTTTATTTATCAGAGGTCAGTGTTTGACCAGATTGGTCACGTTCTACCACTTTGTTATAATTTCAGTTCAATAATTTGCATTTCTTAGCTGTTTGTGGATAACTAGATGTTATTTTGCTTTCCCTTTACCAATGCTGGTTTGCTCGTAGACTAGTCAGCTGTATTGATTTCAAGATTCACTGCTTCCTAATTCCTATTGCCTCTCCCGCAAGCAACCATTTATCTCAGTGTTGACTAAAAACCAAAAATCGCGAAGAATGGAGGCTATAGAACAAAACTAGAACTTATCATTTTAGTTTGAATAAGTGGCTGTCTGGCCATCTGGGTATGATTATGATTCCTTTCTTTCTGTGATTAGCACTTGTTCTATATTTAATTGATTGGTTTCCTTCTTTGGTGTACCAGTTACCAGAGTTATGTTCAAGGGACAGCTCGCTGGTGGTGAAGGAGATATTTGGGGTTACAGAGTACGTGTCTGCAGTCCTCTACTTCGTTTGATTTTGCTTTACGACATTTGTAGGATAAGAGTAGGATCTATTTACATGTTCCTATTTCCTTTGTCATTCAGATTCAACCACTTTTTCGGTTCCACCATTTTTCATTCCCTATTATTTTTGTTTCATGGTTCTGCAGTGAAGATGCTGATCAACTACGGGTGCACACCTTCTCAGAAGCCGGTGAGATGGATTCGCTAGAAAGGATGGTGGGTGGTGGTTCCGATTCAGATGGATCGCCCGATGAGGAATCAAAATCAGCTTAGGGGGAAATTGGATTAAGTTATTATGATACCGACTGTCGAGCTTAGAGGTTTTCCATTCAAGAGCTGAATGTAAGATGCCCATAACACCGGTTGTGTCGAGATTTTTTGTTATGTGTTTGTACTTTGGTACGAGTTTTGAGGCTATACTGATATTGGAGATGGTGGTTGAGGAGAGAAATGGCGCCTCCTTAGAGAATGCATCCTTTTGAAAAAGGGATGTTGCACGCATGCCATGATTGTTGACTCATGAGGATGCAAATCATGATTGTGAAGCTGTCACAAGACATGGAAGTAGCAGTCATGGCTCATGAAATCACTTCTCCACGCCACATTCTGCGACAAAATCGGAATGGGCTATCGGCCCATGGGAAGGCCCACGCCACGATGACAAAAAGAAGCAAGTCTTCCACCCACAGGTTTTAACACGAGGTCACGAGAGGCTTTCCTACCCGCAGGAAGGAAAGGATCATGGTGAAAACTGGGGGCGTGGGGTTTGGTAGCATAATATGGGCTGACAAATATATAATGTGCGCCGTTGAGTCTTGACCACACAGACTCGAAGGCAGAAAAAACCCGGCCCCCGTACCGTAAATATAGTACTAGGACAGCAAAAAAGAACAATAGAGTTGTCGGAGCACCACCTTCTCGTTCGCTCGAATCTCTGCACATCTAGCAGATTGCTCTTTCCCCAGAGGAAAAGCCGCCGTCGCCGTTGCTGCTACTTCTCCGACTTCCCCTACCGCCAACTCAGTCACCGAGGCGCTGAGTGCAAGTAATCCCCTCCCCACTCTCTGTTTGCATTTTGCTGTTCCGCTATTGTCTTGTGATCGTTGAACCTCCTACCTCCCGCGACCGTCAACCGATCGATCGGCAATCCCAATCTACAGATCTCATCCACCGCCATTTCTGCTTTCCAATTTCATTTCCTGCGCATCCGGAATTTAGACCTTACGCCTCTCTCTTTTCGTTGCTATTTTTGTTTGTTATTTTGATTCATTTGCAGTAAGTTGCGTCGATTAGCTTTCCATGGCCAACATTGACATCGATGGCCTCCTTCGAGGCGAGGATGGCGACGAGAGCCGCGTCCCCAGGACCAAAATCGTCTGCACTCTGGGACCTGCTTCCAGATCTGTCCCCATGATCGAGAAGCTTCTCAGGGCGGGGATGAACGTCGCCCGCTTCAATTTCTCCCACGGCTCTCACGAGTACCACCAGGAGACCCTGGACAATCTCCGCATCGCCATGCACAATACCAGCATCCTTTGTGCTGTCATGCTCGATACCAAGGTCGCTCTCTTCCTCTCTCTCTCTCTTTGTTTGTTCCCTCTTTTACCAATTTTGAATCAGCTTAGTGGAAGGAACCCTAACATTGCAGCTTTCAATCTGCTTCTCAATTCACACCTCCAGGGACCAGAGATTCGAACCGGCTTCTTGAAAGATGGGAACCCGATCCAACTTCAGGAGGGGCAAGAAGTCACTATCACTACTGACTACACCATCAAGGGAGATCCGGAGACGATTTCCATGAGCTATAAGAAGCTGCCGATGGATGTCAAACCGGGGAACACCATCCTGTGTTCCGATGGCACTATTAGTCTCTCTGTTCTGTCGTGTGATCCCGAGGCTGGAACGGTGAGATGCCGCTGCCAGAATACTGCCATGCTCGGGGAGAGGAAGAATGTCAATCTGCCTGGTGTTGTCGTCGATCTCCCGACGCTCACTGAAAAGGATAAAGAGGATATTCTTCAATGGGGTGTTCCGAACGCCATTGATATGATTGCTCTCTCTTTCGTCCGTAAGGGATCCGACCTCGTCAATGTTCGCAAGGTCCTTGGCCCTCATGCCAAGCACATCAAGTTGATGTCGAAGGTACCATCTCTCGATCTCGTATACTCAGTATGCATTTAATCTGGCTGCTGGGATTGTGTAGTCATCAATCAAGTTCGTTTCTTTTTTTGTAGGTTGAGAATCAGGAGGGTGTTATCAACTTCGATGACATCCTGCGCGAAACGGATGCTTTCATGGTTGCTCGTGGCGATCTCGGAATGGAGATCCCCGTGGAGAAGATCTTCCTTGCTCAGAAGATGATGATCTACAAGTGCAACCTCGTGGGGAAACCCGTGGTCACTGCCACCCAAATGCTCGAGTCGATGATCAAGTCTCCTCGGCCAACTCGTGCAGAAGCCACCGATGTCGCCAACGCAGTCCTCGATGGCACCGATTGCGTGATGCTGAGTGGCGAGAGCGCCGCTGGTGCGTACCCCGAGCTGGCTGTGAAGACCATGCGGAGAATCTGCATAGAGGCAGAGTCGTCGCTGGACTATGGTGCCGTGTTCAAGGAGATCATGAGGTCGACCCCGCTTCCGATGAGCCCACTGGAGAGCCTGGCGTCTTCCGCCGTCCGGACTGCGAACAAGGCTAGAGCGAAGCTGATCGTGGTGCTGACACGGGGCGGGACGACAGCAACGCTGGTGGCCAAGTACAGGCCGGCAGTGCCGATCCTGTCAGTGGTGGTGCCGGTTTTGACCACGGATTCATTTGACTGGGATTGCAGCGATGAGTCGCCGGCGAGGCACAGCCTGATATACAGGGGGTTGATCCCGATACTGGCGGAAGGGTCTGCGAGGGCCACGGATGCTGAGTCGACGGAGGAGATATTGGTTGCAGCTCTGAAGAAGGCCGTGGAGAAGGGTCTGTGCAAGGTTGGAGATGCTGTGGTGGCTCTACATCGGATAGGGTCGGCTTCTGTGATCAAGATCTGCATGGTCAAGTAAGTAATGACAGGTTTGAGATGGAGCATGAAGCATAATAAGGTCGCCAATGGAAGAACAGTTTTCTTGTCGACTCGTTTGGGTAATTTCTTGTATTTTGTGCAGCCAGTGCCGCCTGACAATGGTTTTAGTCCTTTCTGTGATCGAGGGCAAGTCTGTAGACAGTAAAAAGCACTGCTTGAAGCTAAGTTATGTAACATGGCTCTTAATTTGCAAGTTATTTGTTTCTTTCGAAAGGTTGCAGTAATGATCAACTTTACACTAGAGTGTGGCCTAGTTAAGGCGACATTATCTGTAGTATTGGCCTAGGTCTCTGAACTCCATGTATTAGAACGTGAAATCACATGTATGTGAAACTTTTTATGCCAAGTTTACTGAAACAATAAAAATGACGATGGAAGTCTGATCAGAATGAGTACAAAATAGACAACAACCTTAGATACGTATTTTTACGTGTAAGGATTATTTGATGCAATGCCACAATTTCAACAGGAATAGATTGTACCATAACATATCATGCAACAAATTTACGGGAAATGACAGTACTTGAAACTTGGATAGTAACCCTGGAGCGATGGAGGAGTTGACAAAAGTGCAAGACGTAACATGCCACCGGCATTTACAGTCCTATAAGTTAACACTTCACAGATTACAATTTTACCTGTAAGCCATTACTAGTTTAAAACGAACTTACGATTGATCTAATGTTCACCCATAGTTGTGAATCCAAGGATTTACATGCTTCATGAAGAAGAAGAAGTGGTACCAGTACTCGAACTCGGACAACAACAAATAAGAATAAGAGTTCGGTTGCCTTGCAGCAGCAGCACGAGTCGAGCATTGATCCAAAGATTACATTATATAGTCATACACACATATATCTACTGAAACGTACTACTACTTTGCTCCTTGCCGTCACCATGATAGCACAATGTTTCCATATAGATAATGGTACCTACAACAAGCCACAAGTTTCAAGTTAAACGAGCTTAACATGGAGTAGAAAGACGTAGGTTGCCGTATCTTTAGTCGAGACAATAGATGGAGTAATTTCATATTCCGCAAAAGCAATTTGAAGTACAAAGCAATCAAACAATTCATATTTCTTTCTGCAGGCTGATTGCAATAGATGATCAGCTGGATAGCAAACAAGAACAATAAGTCAATAATGCAGCCTATCGGATGACGGATCAAGCGCATGATTTAGGTACGGTTGCGAACCTACCTCACTCTGCTAATTCATGATCATGGGCGAAACCAAAGTCTCCATGTACACCGTAGAATGACGGTCTTGATTTTTCAAGACTTCGGATGTAGGTAACCTGCAGCTCTTATCCTTGTAATTGTAGATGATCAAACTTTCATACGTCTCCCAAAGAACCTCACCAATGTCCGATATGTACAGTGGACAGCAGAACTCGCCACGGAACCCACCAACTCGGAACAACTTGGTCCATCCAAGCTCTTTCATCACCCATACCGTGCAGAAACCGTCGTCATTGAAACAACTGACGCTAAGGCGGTCGATTAATGTCTCCAATTCCCAGTGGGTAGTATCCTTGCCCAGATCAGGTAGCACTACCTTGTCATATGTCTCTGTTGCTAGATCAAGTGAGACAAGGGCACCAAATGGAGACATTGACATTTTATAGTAAAGACTGCCCGCAGCAAACTTTGCATCCCCCATTAAAGGAACTCCGTAGTGAAAACCCCCCATCTTCCTCCAAGCTCGAGTTCTTAAAGAAAAGACATTAACTGAAGTTTGATACTCAGTGTCGTTACCTTGCTTATCTCGATAGGCAAGCACTGCCACCACCTTGTAATCATCAAGCTGGAAATCATAGCCAAATCCAAAAACCGTGTAACAGCTGCTTCTCCATTTTTCAAAGCCAGGTTCATAGTTGGGCAATGATCTGGAAACCCTGGTAGATGGGTTCCATACGACCACATCGTGGTTTGGGTAGATTACAGAGCATAGTAACCCATCGCGTGATCCAATAATCCAATCATAAAAGTCGTCATCTTGATCCAGCAAAGACCCAAGCTCCGGAAGATCAATTTGGGGGTCGTTGTACACAGAGTAAAGCGAGCACGAAAGCACACGCCAATCTATATCGCGCTCCCGCCTCATAAAAAAGCTCATTGATCGCCTGAAGAGACGTTCGGCGCGGTTGGGTCTGGTATTGGACAGAGCTTTCCTGCTTCTCAGATGTGATTTGACAAAATCGGTACTGGAAATTAGGGTTTTGAACGATTTGCAGACACACCTGAATCGGAGCAGTGAATCGACGGGTAACCAGGTGAAGATTTCGGCGATGAGTTCTGGGGGAAGGATGGGCCGCGGCTGTGGCTGATCTACCCTCGCCCGCATAGGATTTGGCGGCAGGGGCTCCATTTTTGTTTCCCGATGAACGGCCCTGTGGAAAATAGCGGAGAACTACAGTGTACTGAGAGTCTGAGAGTGTTCGGAAGTCGAGGATGGTTGGGAAGCTACAGTCGTTTGTCTTTGATTTTTTCGGCCGTTTGGTAGGTACTAGCAACGGTTAACTCACTTTAAGGGCGGATTGGATAGTTCAATACTTATACTCGCGTTAGGCGTGAATAAAATGGGTTAATACAGACGTGGGTATGAAGTGAAATGGAGCGATCAATTGTTATCCGTTAATTGAAAAAAAAAACCGTCAGTATGTAACACTTTTACGCGAACACATGAAGAAAATATTTTATAAATTAATGATAATTTAATAGAATGAATAATTGAGTATAAAATAGTTAAAAGATTGAGTCTTAAAATTTGTTTGAGGTGAAATATGATTTTATAAAGGTCTTAAAATGGATTGACTGTCAAAAGAAATACCATCTTCTCTTTTCTCTCTTCTCTCTCCTCCGTCTTCTCTTTTCTAGGGTTTCGATTGTTGGATTCTAATGATGGTCGTCGCTGACGGAGCCTCATCGGGCACCGCCAGCGGCGGTCGTTCATGGGCATTTCTGTTTGGTGCTTCTGAGGATACAAGGTTGGAGTATTTTGAGCCAAAAATCATCAATGGATCGCTGAGATTTCCGCGCTCGGTGATTGACGAAGGCATTTGTCGCTGGGACAATAGTCTTGTGGGACAGTTTCTTTCGTCGCCGCCAACGTTGGCGACTATTCGATTCTGGGCCAGTTGGCTTTGGCGTCGCAAGGGAGAAGTGAAGGTTTCGTGGTTGGAGGACAGGTTAGTACTCTTTTCAGTTTCCGACAGAGAAGATGCATAGATGGGTGTTTGAAGGAGGGCCCTGACACTATAAAGAGAATATGCTCAATCTGCGTCGATGGGCTCCCGGTATTAAACCGCTGAAGATCGATAATTCTGTTATACCTGTTTGGATCAAGCTTTCTGGAGTGCCTTTGAAGCTCTCGTCAAAGGAAGGATTGGGAAGAGTTGCTAGTTTGTTGGGTAAGCCACTGTGTATGGATCAACCTACTAAATTTGGTGCTAGGGTGGGTATGGCGAAGATTTGAGTTGAGATAAGTGCTAAGAAGAAACTTGTGGATAAGATTAGTATCACACATGATGGAATGGACGAAATGTTTATTACAGTGGAATATTGTAAGATACCAAAGATTTGCAGTTCTTGTTGCTTGTTTGGGCATGATTGCTCGGCTCCAATGAATGGCAATGTCAAGAGGATCTGGAGGAAAAAGGAGATTATGACAGTGGAGATGCAGGCAACTACTTCAGAGGTGGGAGAGGGCAGTTCCTTAGGTGCTACGGTGGAGGTTGAGATCAAGGATGCAATATTATTTGCAACTCCATCGGTGACTCCAAGTGTTCTTCCTTCTCAGAAAGAGTTCAATACGATTGTTAATGGAGTCAAGTCTGTTCAACAACCTTTGTAGAGGACTCCTGTCACTTTGCACAATTCTTTTGCAGCCATCTGTGCAAAAGGGATAGGGGTGGGATTCGGTCGGTAAACAATTTACCGTTTACCGAATTTACCGGTTTCGGTATACCGAAGTTGGCCAAATTGGTTACCGATTACCGATACCGGTTTGTAACCGGTTTACCGATTACCGAATTACCGAAAAACAGTTACAAACCGGTATTACCGAAATACCGTGAGAAGCGATTTCGAGCAGTTTTTCGATCGGTTTACCGAACCGAATTTCTGGAAGTGGGGTGATGTTGTAATATTTTGATTTTTTTTAGGGTTTGGCCGTTTGTGTAGCAACAAAACGCAGCGCAGCAGTAGGGAGTAGGGAGGGGGATTTCGGTATCGGTATTACCGATTTACCGTCGGTATTTACCAAAATCGTGTCCGGTAAACCAACTCCCCCAACTTCCCGCTCAGCTGCCGATACCGCCGGTTACCGGTTCGGTAAAACGGTAAACCGTTTACCGGATTACCGTTTACCACCCCTAAAAAGGGATTCCTGTTGCTCTGCAGCCTGCACCAGCAAAAGGTCGAGAGGTTTTAAGGAGTCAAAAAGGGGCTCTGGTCCCTCCTCTTTCTAAATGATAGTGTTAGTGTGGAACACAAGGGGTTTTAATTTCCCCTTAAAGCACGATTCTGTGCTGGATTATGTGCGCAAATATAAGATTCAGGTTCTAGCATTGTTGGAAACAAGAGTTCAAAAGCACAATTCAGATAGGATAAAAAGTAAGTTTCCTGGGTTCTCTTGATGATGATTATTATGTTAAGCATCCGTTGGGGAGAGTAAGGGTTGCCTGGACAGATGTTGTGAACGTCAGGGTGTTGGATAGGGATGCAAATTTCATACATAGTTTAGTTTTGATATCTACTAGGGAGCAGTTCTTCTTCACAGCGGTGTATGCCTCTAATGATGACGCTGAACGTGCTGTTACTTACATAAGGTTGAAGAGATGGCAAGTTAAGGTATTTTCTTGGCTGAAGAATAACCCGATTGCTAGGAAGATTGATAGAGCTCTGGTGAATGATGACTGGTTTAATAAATTGCCTTTTTGTGTGGTGGAGTTTCTAGCTCATTCGTTTTCAGATTACTGTGGAATATTGATTCGTCCGACAGTGGCTATGAAGAGTTTTCCAAAGCCATTTCGATTCTATGAGATGTGGAAGCAACATAAAAAGTATGAGAGGATATTGCAGAGCAGTTGGGGGGGATAAGGAGGCTGACTCACATTTGAGAAGTATCAAAAGAAGACTAGGAGTATTGAAACAGGAGTTAAGAAAGCTTAATAAAGAGGAATTTCCTGATATCTCGGGTAGAGTGAAGAAGGTCGAACGGATAATGCAGGAAGCGCAATTACAAGTACTAAATAATCCTACATAAGATACTTTTGAAGCAGTCAAGCAATTGACAATGACATATAAGTAGTTACATTCCGCGGAAGAGAGCTTTTATAAGCAGAAGTCAAGAATCCAGTACTTAAGTATAGGAGACTCGAATACGGGCTTCTTTCATAGGTCAGTCAAAATTAGAAGGGAAAAAAACAAATCAGTAGGCTACGATTGGAATCTGGGGCTATAAGCACAGAAGCTGAAGAGATAGCAGAGGAGGCTGTAAGTTTCTATAAAGGCTTGTATGGTGTGGTGAATATGGAGATACAACCAGATAAGAACTTTCTGAGGCAGTTTGTGACTAAAACCATGGAGACAAACGCCAAGCAGGAATTATGTAAGTCAATAACTCACTATGAAATTAGAGAAGCTTTGTTTGCTATGGATCCTTCTAAGGCTCCTTGTCTGGATGGATGGTTAGTGGGGTTTTCTCATAAGAACTGGCTAGTTATTGGGGAGGACATCTGCAAGGGTCTTCTGGAATTCTTTTGTGAGAAGAGTATCCCAAAGGGCATGAACACAACACCTTTGACATTGGCTCCCAAGGTACCTATTGTTGATACTTTAATTGATTTTCGTCCTATAGCATGCATAAATGTGCTTTACAAGATCATAGCTAAAGTGTTAGCAAACAAAATCCAACAAGTATTGCCTAGTATAATCAGTTGAAATCAATCGGCTTTTGTGAAAGGGCGGAGTATCTTAGATAATATATTGATGGCACAAGAAATGGTACAGAACTATAAAAAGAAAACAGTTGCATCAAGATGTGAAGTGAAGATTGATTTGCAGAAAGCATTTTATAAGTATAGGCTTAAGGATCGCTCGTTTTGGGATCTGCCTCTTTCTACAGTTGGCTCATAGATTTGGTGCAAACTATTACAGTTGTATGAATGGTTTCAGTATAGGATGATGGTGAATGCTCAAAATGAATTGACGTGGGAAGGGAAGCTTATGATTAAGTTCAGAGTGCTGCAAGTTTGTAACACAGTTCGCGTAAGAAGACCAGCTGTCCCTTGGTGGCAATTGATATGGAGTAAGCATGTAGTCCCAAGGTATCAAATTATTGCGTGGCTGGTGATATTGAATCGAATCACCACTCGTGATAAGCCAAAGAATGGGGGAGAATCACTGATGGTGTTTGTCTCCTCTGTTCTAATGCGAGTGAGACTTGTAGTCATTTGTATTGTGGCTGTCAATATAGTTGGGAGTTGTTTTCTGCATTGTTTGACAGGGTTGGTATAAGGTGGCCGAGAGACTAGAATGGATTTCTTATTACAACAAGTCAGATGGCAATTCGAGGAGGTGCTCAAGGAAGATGTTTTCTGTTCTTTGGAGCTGGTACGTGAGCCTAGTCTGGAAGGAGAGATGCAGAAGATATTTTGAAGCCACACACAGACTGTGGCAGCAGCTTTATGCACAATTCAAGAGAGATATTATTTTACTTTCGCTTGGTAATGATTTGTTTAGAGTTGAAATGCGGGCAATACCTCATTGGAGGGAGTTTGTTTAAAACATGTAAGCATCTCTGTTGATGCTGGTTTGTGGACGCTTTGTCCTTGTATTTTGGACCTCCTTGGCCGATTTGGTCGAAGGGAGCTTTAATGAATGCCTAATTATAAAAAAAATATATATGTGTAGATACTGATGCAAACTATGATAGAACGGGTCGAGAATATTGCAGGAAAGGGCGGGTAGGTCGGAAGCAATACCCATGCTCGCCCCCATGGTATTACGGGTTGAGTAATACTCTTCCCAAACAGTTCGAGATAGATCGTGTCGCGCGGGTCGAGTCAGAAATTGCCATCACAAAATATTCAATTAATTAGATCCATTTAAATCCAATTCATTGCATTCAAATCCATTTTTTACGAAAAATTCACTTGTATAGTTGTATTAATAACTAACAAGAACCACAAAGTTGTAAAATACTCGTCTCAGCTGAGAGCCAAGCACGGAAATCAAACCAATCACAACCTATAAGAAACAAAGAAAGGTCATTCTCAACCACTAAATTGGTCACCCTATTTTTATGTCTGCCTACAACCATGATCTCCAAATCTCGCCATTGGTCAAGTATCCAACGAATCTCCTCAAAGATGACACCAACAAAGTAGTCCAAGTGATACCAGCATGCACTTTGTCAATGATAACCTTAGCATCTCCCTCGATCCTAACCTATTGTATTTCCAAACTCACACCCCAGGAAATCGCTGACCATAGAGCCAACAACCCCGCAATTGCCAGATCCACGACCCCTTGCTTCGAACAACATCCCCTTAATTAGCTATCACCACCTCACCTGAAACATCCTTCATCAAATCCAATTGGAATGGGGATTCATGGATTGGATTTAAGAATATTTGGCAAATTACATTGTAGCACCTTTGTTGTTTGTATTTTTTTTTATTTTTTTTGTATTTAGTATCTAAATTTAAACTTGTAGTTGTAAAATATCATTGAGCAATTAAATTTTGGCACCGTAAATTCTTTTATTGCGACGTTTTAGTGCCGTAATGTTTTAAAATGCACATATTGTTCCACGTTTAGATGTCAATTTAGATATAGAATCCAATTCACCAATCCATTTAATCCATAAATCCACTAATCCCTAAATCTAATCCATTGGCTACCTTTATCTACAAGTACAAATTACTATTAAGTGAAAAAATGGGATAATCACAAAAGATATCCATACAATAGAAAAGAATATCATCTCCTGGATCCTTCTATCAGGCAGTAAATATAAATTCCGTCTCAGTCTAGTTAAAACGGGATGCTACGACTAACACAATACAGTCCACTCCTACGGCCGCGCGCTCTCTGGTCCGTTTATTTATATACGGGTGGCCGGTGGTTAGGATTGGAGCTGCCGACTCTTCAAAAGTTGGAGAGACGACAAGAGGAACCAAATTTTTTTAACTCCGGAAGAGTACTACTCTCCAGACTATGAGCACTAGTCCGACTTTCCCCTGCAGTTACTGCCTACTACTGCTGCTGCTAGTAGCAGCTCTATTAGCGTCGTCGTCAAAATCCGCCGCCACCGCCGCCGCCGCCGATCGACGCAGCCTGATTACCAATGGCCTCGGCATGACTCCTCCCATGGGGTATGTACTTGCCGATCCCTCACTCTAATTACTTTTACTACTTTCACATCTCCAGATCTGCCAGCTACTCTCAACGGAACTTGTTCATTTCTCCGGCGCCGGCCATTTTCCGGTTCCAGATCTCCTTTCCTTTCCTTTCAATCATAACACACTATCAATTATTGTTTCCCTCTTGTCTCTTTCAATCAAACGATTCAAAAACCTTATCCCCTTCCGTTCCCCAGTGGTTTGTGCTCTTTCCTTTTCTTCCGTTTCCCTTTTCTCTGACTATTATTATGTTTTATTTTAATTTTTTCCCTTTTTGGGCTTTGGCCTGCCGGGCCTGCTGTCCGTCCGTCCCATCCGGAAGCTGCGTTTCTTAGGATAATATAATTAATAATTTGTTTTGTTTGTACGACGCATGGTTGTCATGCCGGTGGCATGCCACCCGGTTGAACCTGGTTCAACCTGTGTCGGTCATGAAACCGGCATGACACCACCGGTATGACTGGTATGATCGACTCACGCATTCTATGTAAAATGATATCATTTTAATGAATTTAATGAATAAAAAATTAATTTATTATTCATTTTATGAATGTAATAGTTAAAAGTTGATGATATTTGTTGGATTGTAACTAAATTGTCCACAAATATGTTTTATATATGATTAAATACATTGGATATTAGTTGTTTTCACATTTTTTTAAACCGGCATGAACCGGCACAAACTGGTTATACCACCGATCGTACCATTCCACTTGCCAAACCGACACAACGGTATAAACCGGTTTGACAACCTACGACGTAATAATAAATTAGTTATTTATATTAATTGATCTTGTTATTGTTATGCACGTAGATGGAACAGCTGGAACCATTTTCACTGTGATATCAACGAGAAAATGATCAAAGCCACTGGTAATTAATCACCACTGATAATAATAGTTTTAACTGTGCAATTATGCTAAAATTGGGTTTTTTTTATTATAATTGATACTGGATGGATATTCCATATATATGCAGCGGATGGCTTGGTCTCGAGTGGGCTTGCTAAGCTTGGATACGTCTATGTCAACATTGGTATGCTAATTAATCTAATTAATAATCTTTGATTACTAATTTATTGTGTGAGCAATGATTACTAAATAGTAAATACTTTTATCTGGTGCCTTCTTCGCTTCTCGTTTGTCCTGTCTGTGTACACAGCTGGCTGCGTGTAATTAGTGTAGTTTAGTCAAACAACACCGGCGCCTTGCTTTGCTAATTTCTTCTAAACTAATCGTTCAAAATCTTGTGCGTGGCATGCAGATGACTGCTGGGCTGAAAAGACACGAGATTGCAAGGTCACAATTACTTACCATAGTAACTATTAATTACATTTTTTCTACAACTAAACGTGCATAGCTAGGCTGCTATTATTTTGATGAATATGGTTGAAAAAAGAGAAGTAATTTAATTAGATTCTGTCTTTAATTACTTCAGGGCAATCTAAGGCCAAAGAAATCAACATTTCCATCCGGGATTAAAGCAGTAGCAGATTATGTCCATAGCAAGGGTCTTAAACTGGGAATTTACTCAGATGCTGGGTACGTATGTTAATATTTTCTCCAATGTTTTTTTGTTATGGTATAAAATTGTTCCTTATCAACGTTTGCGTACCAAATTACGTATATAATTAATTCGTATCTACATATACGTACTATGTGTCGAATTGTGCAGGTATTACACCTGTAGTAAAACTCAACCTGGTTCGTTGGGTTATGAGGAACAAGATGCTCAAACTTTCGCTTCCTGGGTATGTACCTGCAATGCGGAATATTCATCAAATTAATGTACAAGAAGTGGTTTGATGATTGCCCATTTTGATTAATGGAAACTGAATGCTACATTTTATTTTAAAATCTCCTACAGGACATTGATTATTTGAAGTACGATAATTGCTTCAACGATGGTTCCCGACCAACCGTTAGGTGACATCTATATCTCTTCCTCCTCTTCATTATTCGTTTAATTACTCTCACAATGAAGGACTAAACTTAATAATTAATCCATTTCTGTTGTTAATTAATTGTGGGAGAGTAGATACCCAGTGATGACCCGCGCTCTTATGAAGACTGGACGCCCCATCTACATCTCCCTCTGCGAATGGTAATTAATACTCAATCCTCCAACGCTAATCACTTTAATTAATTACTGTAGTTCAATTTAATTTACCAACTCAATTCGCACGTGTCCGGGCAGGGGAGACTTGCATCCAGCTGAATGGGGGTTCAACGTCGGAAACAGCTGGAGAACAACCAACGACATCTCCGACACGTGGGAAAGGTACGCTTAGTTACGTAATTAATGCGTATACGTACATAAGTAGGTATATTTGTACAATTGTACTGAATTATACTGATACTGTACGTATATATACGTAATACGATGCAGTATGATATCGAAGGCGGACGAGAACGAGGTGTACGCCCACCTGGCCCGGCCAGGTGGATGGAACGACCCGGACATGCTGGAAGTCGGCAACGGCGGGATGACGGAGAACGAGTACGTCGTCCACTTCAGCCTGTGGGCCATCTCCAAGTCACCACTCTTATTGGGCTTCGACGTCGCCAACGCCACCGCGACGCGGGCCGTGGCCCATATAGTGGGGAACGAGGAGGTGATCAGGATCAACCAGGATCCGCTCGGGGTCCAGGCCAAGAAGGTGAGGATGATGGGCAGCAGGGAGATATGGGCCGGCCCAATATCCGGGTATCGGTTCGTCGTGATGCTGCTCAATCGAGCGGATACCGGCGACGAAGACACGGTGACGGCGTACTGGGACGACGTCGGGATCCCGGCAAAGTCGTTGGTGGAAGTGAGGGACGTTTGGGAGCATAAGACGTTGGGGAGAGCCGTCGCCGGGAATATCTCGGCCACCATGCCACCTCGCTCTTGCAAGCTCTATATCTTGAAGCCCGTCGGTTGATGACGACCTCAAACGTCGTCGAACGATATCGTATTGTTGTGTGTGGTTGTTCACTCGTTACTATTGAATGTCGCGGGCTATGAGTCTTATGAGCGATTGTGGAATTATTAGGTGGTAATAATGTAGTCTGATTGCACGATTGAAATAAAATACTAGCAAATGTGTTCATGATTAATAAAGCGTTAAGCAAGGGATTATGACATAAATAATGCATCTATCTCCTTTTAAGTACAAGCATTAAGGGTGATATACATGCATGGCATAAAAATATTAATGGATTATCTGTCCCTGCATTCTTTTTCTAGAAATTAAAGGTATGGGGAAATCATTTGATGGGAATTAAAGAGCAATGAGAGGAAAAAGGTTCTATAGATGGAGTTGCCTTAAGGTGGAAGAGTGGAACAAATATTAGTTAATGGAGATGGTGACATAGTTAGGTATGAAGTCCTTTTTCCCTTTTGGATGGGTTGATCATTGATGAACAGAAAACAAGTCCCTGAACTAGACTAAGGTGGCAAAATGAGCCTTCTTACAATACTTTTTCAACAACTAAGCCTATAGAGATAGAGGTATAGACGACAGTTTTTGCTATCAGACAATCTGGCTACGCATCTTGTTAACAGACAAGTTTGAGATCGTGTATTCTATAAAGACGTTGTGGTAAAGAGTGGAGTGGATAGTGTATATTTATTATTCTAATTAAAGTGATATGGGTTTAACTTGTATTCGTATTTCATTATCACACGAGAATTAGGTAGAGAATCAAAATCATACTCATACATGATCGGTTTTGGGTATTCATACGTACACTCACATTGTATACTTGTAAAAGTATAACAATAATTCAATATTCAAAAGAAAATTAGTTAAGGACAATACAATTTCATGAAAATATTACATATGTAGAAAAAATAATGATTGTGTACAAACAAAATACATGGATAGTGAAAAAATCAAGTCCACTCATTACTGGCAATATTCGAATACTTGTTTTACTCATACCCACTAACGTTCTTCAAATTCAAATTTTACCCAACCCGATTAGGTCTGACTCAGACAGATATCCATGACGGTGGATATTTTTCATCCCTATGCTGTGAGGAAAGAAGAAGACATTATGATATTATGGTGCACTTTGTTTCAATCATCATATTATGATTTTCCATTCCTCCACTATCTTCCTCCTCCCACCTTCATTTGCTTGAGATCCTCACATATTTACTTTGAGGTTTGAGCTCACTAACTGTAATAGATCCCTACCCCATCCAAGTTGAGCAGTAGCATGCATAATCTTCAATCATGTTTTAAAATCAAACCTCACTACTAGGCACATACGACAATTTATTGATTTTAGTAATTAGTACTAACGCACAACGAACCATTTTGAGGATTGCTAAAACAGTCGATAGAGATGACTCTCACTGACTCACACGATCATACATCATAGAGAGTAAACATATCTAAACATGTAATTTGATCGTACATTTTTTTTTAACTACAATGATATTACTTTGTCGACGGAAAAATGCCAACGTCCAAACACATTTTGATACTCTTCACCTTACCAAGCAAATGATAATTGTTAACATACGATTCTTCTAGTATTACATAGTAGAGAAGAAAATTCACCCTTTTAATTTTATATATGACTACATTCTTTGTTAACAAAAATTAGCTTAGTGAAGTATATATCAATATTTTCAATTGAAATTCAAACATCGCCTTTGTTGAATTTTGATCTTCACTGGATAAACCATTCTATTATTTTAAAATAATAATTATTTGCATAATTTAACGGATAATGTGGTAATTACTAATATTATTGAATTTTCATTTTAAGTTCTCTTTGTTTTTATGTTACGGTAACCGGGCCGGAACAGCTTCAACATAGCCCGCCCGCCCGCCCGCCGCTCTCAATCCATTCCATTTCCAACCAGGCTCTCTCTCTCCTTCCCTCCCTCCTTCCTCAGTCCTCTCTCTCTCTCCCCACCGTCCCTTTTCAACAACTGCTGAATAGAAGAAGAAGAAGAGAATACTCTTTTACCAAACCAGCAATCCGAAACTCGATTGACTTCGCTTGCAACCGCCAGCCATCACCTCCTCCGCCGTCGCCGGAAGAAATCGAAACCCTCCAGATCGTGAGCCGAGCTGCTTCATTTCCATCGTTCCATCCCGTCTCTCCGATCCTCCCCCTTCTCCCTCTCTGTCTTCCTTTTCCATCTACTGAGATCAGCCTGTGACGAAAGCATTGCTCTCCCCTAGACTGAATTCCGACTTGACGATTTCAATTCCCCAATTCCAATTCGCCGCCGGGGTTGATCTGATTGATTCTCCGACCATTTCCCTCCCCCACTCTCTCTTTCCAGTCCGTTTCCATCTCACCCTTCTCCAAACCTAGCAATTCTTACCCTGGATTTCCTCCTCCCGTATTGCTGCCTGTTTCTCCTAATTTTTCTGGGGCCACGCTCACCACAGCTCGCTCGGAAATGCATATTGTGGCCAAGGGTAATGCCGCCGCTTCAGCCGTAAGCAACCCGACGTCTAACCAGCACCATCAACAGTCCCTCAGGAGGCTGGGGTTCTGCTCTCAGTTAGCTGCCGGCGGGGCCCAGCACTCTTCCCCCATCGTTTTCCCCGAAAAGCGCAGCAAAAGGGTCAAGTCATCTTCCTCCAAACGGATTGAGCTCACCAGCGATCAACCTTTTGAAAACCCTAGCCGGGATGAAGTTAGAATCGACATCGGTGGAGGAATACCCGCTGTAGGAGATGAGAAGTCTGATTTGTTGGGGGATGTTGTTATCTCCGGCAAGCTCGTTTGGGACAAGAGGAAGACCTCGGTGAGCCCTGATACACCCAATGGAAATCCTGCTAATCTAGCTCCTGCCGATGTTCCTAAACAGGAACCACTGGACGCTAAGCTTACCAGCAAGGCTTTAATCTGCGGCTCCACTATATTGCATCTTGACGATGTCATCTCGGTAAATTTTTCTCCTAAATTCCCATTTCATACGTCCATGGACGTCATGAACAATCTGCTTCAGCCTACTTGATCATATGATAAACAATTATGTCTTCTGGGTTTTGTAGGTGACATATAATGCTGGTCTCAGGTATTTTACTGTCCATTCATATCCCATAAAGAAGGGCTCTTGTGGTCTGTCTTGTTTCATCAAACCCAAAAGAATTCGCAAAGACTATCGTTTCGTAGCCACAACCGTGAAAGATGCAGTACAGTGGGTTGGTGGATTTGCAGATCTGCAATGCTATGTGAATTGCTTGCCTCACCCTTTGGCCTCTTCCAAGAAGCAAGCTTCTTCGGAGTTACTTCCCATTGACACTCCTCCGGAGTTGCTATTTAAGTGTAAGAATCCACCTAAAATGCTGGTCATCCTGAATCCACGTTCTGGCTCTGGCCGTTCGACCAAAGTTTTCCATGGCATTGTGGAACCTATATTTAAGGTGTGTCTTCTACACCTCTTTCTTAACTAGAATATTCACCATTTCTTCATGTATTTGAATGTCTATGGCAACTCAAGGATCATGGAACATCATATGCGTTCATTATATGTGAGATACACTGCGATTGAACTGTACAGAATAGTCAGCATCTAGGAATTCAGGGAGCTCTCCTGCCATTGATGTTCTGACGATAGTTTTTCTAGAGTTGGTGTATGCTGCATCAGCTTTGCTCATATGGCTGTTAATATTAGCTATCCAACATTTGGTTTTAATGAACTGGCTTGAGATCCATACCTTGCCTATGTTCTGAGTTGAAAAACTGAAAGAGACCACTCGGGAACATCTTCCCGGCGACAAAACACATTTAGCTCTTTGCACGCAGTAGGGAACGTTTTCTCCCCCTTTTCGTCTTTCCCCAAAGCATCTGATGGTTCTTTTCACTGTTGTTCATGTGAAGTTAGAAATGACTGAGCATTGTTTTCACGTCTATCAAATCAATAATTTAAAGTGTGAGCTGTTACAGCTTGCAGGGTTTCAGTTGGAGGTAGTCAAAACTACATCAGCTGGTCATGCTAAAAGTCTTGCATCTACCGTTGACATCAGCACTTGTCCTGATGGTATGTTTCTCGATGAACTTTGTGTTCTTGATTCTTCCCTTTTTGATGGTTCCAATGAGTATCATATATGATGATTTTTCACCATCGCCTGTTACATTTGAACTTTTCCACTTGCTCCAGGGATTATATGTGTCGGTGGTGATGGAATTATCAACGAGGTGAGGTTTCTACTCTCAGTTGGATTCCCTGGTCTTTTGCTTTAGCTCACATTTTGCACCTGGCCACATTTTAGTAATTAGTTTGTGAGGAAGAAATGTTGTTGTGGAAATATTTCCAACTAAGCCATCCATTCTTTACCTTTTTTTTTTCCGGACACTGCATGTCAAACATTGTACAGTTATGCCCGCAGCTGTACTATCAGACTTTTTGTTGTTTTGGGTAAATATACTGTCAGAGTTCTTTCTCAAAGCTATACGGGATGGGATTTGAGCTGCATCTTTACTAGATGCAAAGTGATGATGATGCACATTGAATGAGTATAAGTTGAATGCATGCTGTGTCAGTGCATACATGTATCTCATGCCACCTGATCATTGAGTTAGTATTAAGTAGTAGCAGGATATTGTGAATGCTTCTTTTCTTGATGATTAACAAGTTAATCAATGCAATTTGTCAGGTCCTGAATGGTTTGCTCTGTAGAGATAATCAGAAAGAAGGAATCTCCATTCCGATTGGTATTATACCTGCTGGTTCTGATAATTCGCTTGTCTGGACTGTTCTTGGAGTACGTGATCCTATTTCTGCTGCCATGGCTATCATCAAGGTAAGTTTATAGTGAAAGTGGTAGATATTCTGGAGTCTAGTTGTCAGCAAATATCAATGCTGTAATAAAGTTTCTTAGTTCATGGACCATCTGTGAGGTGAATAAAATTTGAATACCTCGAATGGCATTGAAGTTTTTTTTTTTCTGCTTAATTGTTAGTTAATGAGCCTATAGTTATTGTCACTTCCATTTGATTTCTTACTTACTATGCATATGTTTCTGTTCAGGGAGGTCTAACTGCCACGGATGTTTTTGCTGTGGAATGGCTTCAGACCGGTATTATGCACTTCGGGATGACTGTCTCATATTATGGTTTTGTTAGTGACGGTAAGTTGACCAAGTACCATCGTTCTTCTCGGACAAAGCTGTTTTATG